TCCGTTGACTACTTGAAATTAGCAAAACAAGGGGAACAAAACATTCCAATACTAAATTGCAAACATAAATTTTATTACAATCGAATTTCAGGGAAGGAGCAATGAGCAACTCCTTTACACAGAATTCCTGAAAAAAATATACAAAATAGCCTCTGTATGATGACTGTATGAAATTGACTGAATATGTAACTACTCAACAAGACATTTCCTTAAGGGAACGATACATCTGCATTGTTACTGATTAAGCAGAAATTACAGTATGTGTAGGTACAATGATCATAAATTTAAACAAGGAGTACACTTTTAGGACTAGCAAGCAATCTTAGTACAAATGTACATTGAAAACACGTTACAATGAGAGAACCTCATTCATGGAAGTTCTCTTTAAGCAATATTATAGTAATCCTAAACATAATTACAAAGAATATTGTCTGAAATTGCTAACCCTGAAAACAAAATACTATGTTGAAAAAAACACTCTTCAACACTGAAAAACTTTGTTCATGGTTTTGCTCAATTGTGAAATTGGACAATTAAAATTACCAATGTATTATTACGTGCTTACAGAACAATTTTACCAAAAGATACTATCTAATTGCTCAAATTACGTGCACAGTAGCAACGTTTTACCAATTAAATACAACCCTGATGCTCAGTGTTCCAGTGAGACGCCTCAAGATGGCGCTCTACTATACTTATATTACATAACGCGACCGTTCGCCTCAGAAGAGATGGGAGCAGCACCCCCACCACAGCACAGCCCAGTCGTATGTCAACAGACAGCACCACACGCCTACGGGGTGACAGGACGCCATACTCTGGGCACGTAAACAACCCGTATGGCACACCTCAGTTCATGTCCAAGTCAAATCCATGCCTTCGCGGGTGAACTAGCTAGTAAACAAAAAGTACGTATGCAAAGCAGAGGAAACAAATGCACTTTAGGCAGTGCGAAGATCTGTGGACATTAAATACACAGCAATAAATACACATTCTAAGTTTGCAACTCGTCTCCAGGCATATGTGGTAGTATAATTGCGTGTAGGTGTAAATAACGACAGGATAGAACAAGGAAGAGGAAGGACAGATCGCTCGCGGTCTAGGGCCCGTTTATTAGGGTACTGCTCTCGCATTCGTCTAGCGTTGAACGAAAAACTACCGACCAGAGCAGCCAGCACTTAAATTCTCCTCCATACAATAGTTGAAATTGCCCTAGCTATAACTTGTGTAGAACATACAGCTACTGTCGAGACTCGTACCCTAGGAGGTCAGAGGTTAGAGGCCCTGCTGTGACATCAACTGCGCCCTGATCCACCGAAGCCAATGTGAAAAAGGGCAAGTCAGGGTACGTAAGTGAAGGGGGGCGAGGCCGGGCTTAGGCTGGGCGAGATAAGCGAGGCTGGACGGGGTGAGGCGAGGACCGGAGAGGTGATGAGAAGTGCGGTAGGAGAGCTGAGGCGAAATGGGGAGACGCGGGATTACGCTATAGACAAATCACTAATCTTCCTGTTTGAGGTTTCCAGTGCAATCATGGGTACTAGTGTCAATGGGATTTCCAGCGTGTTGCCATTCCAGATTTGCGATGCGTGCCGACCCTAAAGCCCGTTTTACACGATCATTTGTTCATTTTTTGCAGGTACAGAAAAGATACAGACCAGTTTGGTAGTAATTTGTACGGAAAAAATGACGCATGTGTAACTTCTCTGTAGAGATTCCATTCAGTTTGACTACCGCGCTCCTGGTGGAACTTTTTCTGGTTTGTTGTGAAGGAATTTGTTCATTTTGTAGTTTTGAGACCATGTTGATGTGTTGAATTGTAATGTGACGTGATTATATAGTGAGAAATAAATTATGTACTGTATTCTAATATCGTCGCATCCGTGCTTAGTCCTAATATAATCCAACTTAATTTGTAACCATAGATGCGATGTTCAAATGATTGAACTTCAGTCCTATTTGCGGCGTCCGGAGGCGTCTGGAGGAAATATTTTTCCCCGATTACGTACAAAGACAAAAATGTCCGTGTAAAACGCTGATATCACTCATCTAGTTTCGACACCAAAACATATTGCGTAGGAACTAACGTCATCACTTTCTAGTCACTTTCTTTACAGGAAAATGATGGAAAAATGTGAAACAATGACCGTATAAAATTGGCTTACAGATGGGGATGGATGTACACGTAGGCTTCCGCGGCTCGAGTCCATTACTTCTAGGCTATCCGGGTGACGCCGCGTCGTTGGCAGATAGGCCGATAGCTTTACTATGTCAGTACCCTGAAGAAGCCTGCGACATGACAGGCGAAACGTCGGCCTATCTGCCAACGACGCGGCGTCACCCGGACAGCCTAGAAGTAGATGGGGATGGAGTTGGGGAGGGGCCCGCCCGCCCGCTGCTAGCACAAACAGTTAAGCCGTTTTTTTCCAAAATTGATATTCCCCAATCAATCTGGCTGTTGTCGCGACTTCTTGACTTGAAAACTAATATTAATTTTGGGCGTATTTTATAATTTAGTCTCAGAGATATTTTCAAAATAAAAAAAAGTGGCTCCATTTTTGATTGAACTTTTTTCTTGGATAGTGTGAAGGACGTTTAAGAAAACGGTGCAAGTCTCGCGTTGAAAACTTAAAAATGCAAAAATTTAAAATATTGTTCAGTGTCTCCGTACAACTACAATTAGGAAGACGAGACTTTTTTCTTGTAATGAAATCCATTCCTTAAAGGTAAATTTTAAAATATGGTCAAGTACATTTTGTCGAAAACTTGAGTACTTATTGCGCAATTTTCCATGAAACTTCAGGCGAGACTGTTCGTGCTGTTTTAGCAGCACTAAGTAGCTTTAGAAATTTAAACAGGAGGAACTGAAGGAACAACGAGAATCAGTAGGCAACTTTATAATAGCAGTGGAGCCAAACTGGTTCTACATGTAAAAAGACGAAAATGTCTAGTGGTATAGTCTGGTTTGGCTGCGAATCGTCAACAAAACATCAGTGTTTCTAAACATCGATGTTTGTAGTATCGATATTAATAAAACATCGTCCCAAAACCATCGATGTGGTTGATTGATTGTTAGAGATTCCACGCACTTCAACTGCAAAGTTAATTAGTCTCGTACGTGTAATGCATGTTTTTTCCCTCGAGAGGAGGCGATGATACTTGCAAGCTGGACAGCGAGATCTAGCGCTGACCTACTGTCGGCTAGCGGGGTTTCCCAAACCAGGTTTTTCCAACAGCGAGGCACCTCTCCGGCCGGGACAAGCTATAAACTCCCGTCCGATCTCCCGGAATGTGTGGTAATGTAGTGCATGGGAGTAAGTGTGTGATGTAATGGGTGGCGATAGGACGAAGAAGTGGATGGAAAGAATCATGCGCGGTGTGTGGCCGGTGTGTTAGCGCAGTGCTCCGACTTTCGCATGGTGTTGATCTGAGAAACGGCATGGAATCCTACCGTGCTGTGCAGCCGGCTTCTAGAATTCTTCTCCAGATAGCATCTGAATTCGATGTAGCTGAAAAAATTAGTCTTGAAAATTCTGCCACTATCGGGACTCGTATCAAGGGCCTCCCGGTGACAGACACTGCAGTGGCATCAGTTGATGCTCTGAGCCACTTCACCCTAATCGACGGTACTAAACATCGATATTTTTAAAACGGGATTAGTAACTATTGAACTCCACGTAGGGGGATTTATTTTAAAATTGTCTCTCTTATCAAATATTTTATTGAGATTCATCTGAATCAAAGTTTAAAAAACATTAAGGATAATTAACAAAAAATTAATTACTTGATACGATCATTTAAAATTAATTTAGACTTCTGTATTGATTAAAATATGATTTTATTTGATTTTCATCCTTGGTCACTGTTCTGAAGAATATTCTATTTATGGATATCTGAAAGTTATTAGAGACTTTCGTTATGATGTTTTTTATTTTTTCAATGAAAAAAGTATCATGGAAAAACATTGAACAAAATATGAAAGATAAAAATATTGGCTGCAAAATACAAATGTTGAAAACGTCATCGAGGTCGCAACTAGTAAGTCGAGAAAAGATCATTCAAAGCTGCAATCCATTGTTACTGAGTGGCGCAGTGTGACCCAAAAGCAGCTGTTGAAAACATTAGCTTTTCTTATCAGAAAAGCTCACAGATTTCTGAAGCACAATGGTCCAGGAAACTATTTTTTTTCGTATGTGCCCTTTAGACATTTAAACACGCGTTCCTCGTACCGCCCCCTCTCCCACTTCCATTGACAAATCCAAGTTTGTCAAGAGAGATCAGTCATCCTGAATAAATATCAAGGAACAAAAATGTGTATTCTTTTAATTTCCATATTTGAACACGAAAGTCTTAAATTTAGGGCAATAATAGATTCGAATCACTAAAAAAATACTCACACTTCGTACTTTTGAATGGGCTATCCCAGTTGAGTCACAGCAAGGGTCATTACGGAGAAAATATCATTTGTGTATCATATACCAAGGTCGAAATGAGCCGCTGACTAGAGGAGATTTCTAGCGGCCGGCTGCTCTGATTGCAATTTTCCGTGGTTTTTTTTATCAAATTCTGGCAATGCTGATTGAAATTTTAAGGTCAAGACTTTTTTAAACAAAACGATTAAATCTTCGCAAATAAATTATTTGTATGTTGTAATATCTTCCGCTATATGACTTGTGGTATGACAAAATTAGCGATATGTACATTTTCAGAAGTCATACAATTATATTTAATTTTAGTTTGCGATAAGAGTCATGTTACATTGATTCCAGTTGCCTTTTCAGAATTTTTGAATTTTAACATAATTGAAAAACTATCTTTTTCATTCATTACACTCTTATTCACCAGCACATGATACAATCTGGCTTTATTGTATCATGTACAAAGGCGTCTGTCCTCAAAAGGGGTTGGATGTCACAAGTAAGCAAAGAATTGAAGTTCATTAATATTGGTTCTTGGTGAAAAATAATTCAAAAAAAAAGAGGATAAAATATTACAGCATAAATTGACATATTTTCATAATAAAATTTAATCCAGACTTCTCATCACAATACATGCAAAATGTATGAAAATAGAATTCACTGATATTCAACACATACAAATACGTCAAAAACGCACACTAAACATCAAATAAAATTCGTAAAAGCCACCAAAACAACAACAACACACGGACGCCAGGTACCACTAATAACCTCAAACAAACAGCTGTAGAGGTGCGCCGAGCCGCCATGTTACTTATTTGTTGAATTCATTAGCATTTGTAGACCCGTTTCTGAACCGATAAGTTATTGAAAGACTTATAGGTTCCATAAGTCTCATTGGCTTTTATAGAAACACGTTTTGCCACTATGGAATATTTTATAGAATCAATAAACTTATGGATTCCATACCCAACCTTTATGCAATCGGCCCTGCGAAAGGGAAATCTCCCACTGACGTGTAGGCCAACGCCAGGACTCTCCATCCAGCGTAAAAGGAATCACCGCCACCTGTGGAAATAAACCACACACTTCACTTACGGGACTAATGACCGCAGCAGTTGACATCCCCGGACACACCAATCAATCAATCTCCCCCCTCTCGATCTTTCCCCCCCTTCCGCTTTGTCATTCTTTCCCACTCTCTGCCTCCCCCTTCCTCTTTGTCATTCTCTCTCTGTCTCCCCCTTCCTCTTTGCCATTCTCTCTCTCTGTCCCCCCTTCCTCTTTGCCATTATCTCTCTCTCTCTGTCTTTGTGTCCCCCTTCCTCTTTGCCATTCTTTCTCTCTCTGTCTCCCCCTTCCTCTTTGCCATTCTCTCCCTCTCTCTCTCTCTCTCTCTCTCTGTCCCCCCTTCCTCTTTGCCATTCTCTGTCTCCCCCTTCCTCTTTGCCATTCTCTCTCTGTCTCTCCCTTCCTCTTTGCCATTCTCTCTCTGTCTCTGTTTCCCCCTTCCTCTTTGCCATTCCATCTCTCTGTCTCTCCCTTCCTCTTTGCCATTCTCTCCCTGTCTCCCCGAGCGGGGGCCACATGCGGCCGGGTGGCGGGGCCTGCCCACCCCTGGCGCAGAGTCCAACCGGCAGCGCCAGCGCTGTGGTGGTCGGCCCGACGCGTTCTCTCCGGCTGCCGAGGCCGCTCCTTATCGCTTGGCTGATAAGAGCTTCGCCGTGGTCGCCGGCTCCTCTTGTCACTCAGTCACGATTTGCTCCTCGTCCCAGTCGCAGACGTGCTCTTCCTATTGTGTTTGAAGCGAATGTCAAGAAGAACACGAGGTCTTTAAATCAGGTGAGTTAATTAACGCTAGTAAGTCAATTTTAGTACGGTGGCTTTAATAATCCACGTTGATATTGCAACGTTGGCAGGCATGTTGCATTGGTTAATGTTGTATGAGAGTAAACGTAGGTGAGCAGGCGGAGAACTGGTCTTATAGCATGTGATCTGAGACACGCTGCTCAATAAAGACTACTCTTGTGTACTATCCTTTTGTTATTATTATAATAATCATCATGTATGTACTTTAAGAGATAGCATTGAAACCACTCCCGTGTAACGTGAAATAGCTAACACTTAACTATTATATAATGTTAAACTTTCAAAGTGACAGATGTTTAAGTTAAAGTTTCTTTTTTTTATTTTTGAATGATATTAATAAAATAAAAGGAAACTTCAGGATACTTGTTGCCTCACAGTGTGTGACTAAGATTTGACCAATACAATATCATTTTCAAATTTTAATGTCAAATTTTAATGTCATTGTCTATACTTAAGCTGTCTAGTCCACTCTTTGGAGTTAAGATCCACTTTGTGAATAATGGAAATTGGAGATATAAAATTAAAACAAATACAATGCCAATAGTTTATTTATGAAATGTGATTCGATATTCATGATTTGCTTAGAAAAACTTGAGTATAAAATCTTTCGGAAAAAATATTTATAATTTTAAAATGCTCAAAACAAAACTTTTCCATAAAAATCTTGATTCTAGACTAATATTTTCTGTTCAACCAGTTTGTCAAATACTACAATTTCAACAAAAAATATGTTGGTGGCGAATTAATTCTTGCATTGAACAAATTTTACTTCTGAAATCAGCATCGTTATAAACGGAAAATTTAGTAATCAGTGTTCTATACAAAACTTTATTAACATTCTTGTATATAATTACTGAAAAATAAATCAATCTAATATGAAATATCATGTAATATTTAGAGAATTTATAGTAAATAAGTATATTGAGCTTCTTTGAAAAAAACTGATCTGCATGTATTCAATATTCTATTGATACTATTTCCCCCTATTTTGTCCTTTAAAATTCAACAGTGATTGCTTGTACTAGTATTCTTACCTCTCAGGTAATGCAAATTAAAAATTTAGGTATTTAATGTATTCTGCCTGTATACAAATATGAGCATACATTCATTGTAACAGTGAACAAATTTTGAACTATTGACTTATACCGAAATAATTCATGTACCTATATTTTTTCATTATTATTTACTTGAATGTTTTTTCATACGAGGTACTTGGCACCCTCATTTCAACTCTTATAACCCATAACTTTTTATGTATTAAATATACATTAGAATGCATCAGGTTTGAAACATAAAACATTTATTTTTTAATTTAATTTTACACAATGTGGAAATTAAAATGTTACTTTAATACAAATATTTCTGACATAATTTAATAGTATGAGAACAATACTGTCTATAATAATTTAATTTGTAGAATTACAATAGTATTTTTATATTACCACGTGAGTTGGCCGCCTTTTCCAGGCAATATCAGTTCAATTTAACTTAAGTGTAATCAGTTCCAAAACAGATTAAATCATTTAAAAATAAAGTAAAATATCGAAAACTACTCAAAAACAATCTCAATAAATCCTTTAAGGAAATTCTTACAAATAGTCAAACATTCGAACTGAAATCTTACGAAATTTTAAGACGACAGGAAATGTCTATGGCAGCCCAATATTAAATGACATCAAGGTCAACATGGTGTGAATAAAAATAAGTTACATTGTGTAGTATAGGCTTTCGAAAGAGAAGCATCGCAAACTCAGTGAATTTTAGTAAATATCCTCGTATATTGTATATACAAATGATTGTTTTGACAGACAACGTCATTGTTTCATATCTGAAATGTATTCAAAGTGATACAATCTATTTTGTAATTTAGTGGGGAATGTAGTTCTGAGCCCTAGCCTTATCTCTATTTGTTTTCTCTGTTCTTAACGTTTG